CACGCTCCCCCCCCCCCTCCCTGCCCGCAGTGCGATTGCCCACACCGGAATGCGAGGTACAGGAATGCCCGCCGTTCTGGTGCAGTGTGATCGGAAGAAATAGTACCTGCAGCATTTTTTCAGATCGCACTGCTCCGGAATTGATATGAATGGCACCACCATGCCCTCTCCCACCCCAAAACGCAGCCTGTTTTGATTTCTATAATCTAGTGTGTTCCGGCCACGAATTGTGCCGGAACGCACTGGATAATATGGTGTGACTCTGCCCTTAAGGCTGTGTGTGGTCAGCTCACTACAGGAAGTTAGTAGAAATTTCAGTTAAAATCAACTAAATACACTCCAGGCCTATCAAAAGTGTGCAAAGTCTTAGAGATCCTTGTCTTTGGAAAGCAGCCACATCCTGCGTAGAAATGCATGTCGCCTGCCAGCGTTCTGCAGAGAAGGACCCACCTCCGACCTTTAGCTCTGCAATCAGCAAAGCTCATGCTCCTTGCTCCTTGGAGAGCTCTGGCTGTGACTCAGCAGAGGGTGTGTCAGACCTCTACAGAGAGACCGCTGCTTTTACATATAGAGCAAGGAAGTTGCCCACAGGGAGATGTACAATTTGCTGTGTCCATGTTATGCTTTTCCTTTTCTCTTTTTTCCCTCTTGGTGGTGGTGTAGTTGTTTTGTTGCAAAAATTAATTTGTATGTATGTTCAAAACTAAAAAGGTTGCTGTATAGGCTCCATGTTTGAAGGGTTAGAATTGTTAAGACCACTGCTGGAGCCTAGGTAATCACTGTCCTGTATTTGGCATTTCATTCATATTGACATTGAGTGAAAAACATTGATTATCTTTATCCTATCATATGGCTGCACATCACTAAGGCTCCTCTTTGGAATGCAAGTGATACGTGCTCAGAATGTATTATTTGCTTTCACACATTCCTGTGTAAGTGTTTATGGTCCAGCTTACGGTGCAATAGCTGCCAGCTTCATACGTGGGATTTGTTTGTCATTGCTCATACGATGGATTCTAGTTAAGGAGTATGCATGCAACTTATATGCTGACTTTATTTTTTTTATGGCAGTTAGGCAGAACGGGGATTTCTGGTTGGGGATTTTACCAGCAAAGTCTTCTAGAAATATAACAAGACCATATGCCATTTCACTTTCAACATTTCAAACAAACTTTGGATGTAGTCAGCCTTTAAAAATGGTCTGACAGCTTAAAGAAGAACTCTGTGCAAATGTTTTATTAATTTGTCCGTGGGGCTACCCCCGTTCTACAAGGGTTAAATGCTCATTTTGGTCTAGGGAGGAAAATAACAAAATACTCAGTGATCCTCTGAGCCAGCCGGCAGTCACAGAACTCCCTCCTGCCTATCTCCGCTGCAGCAATGGTATGTACCTTGGTGTCCACACATCCTATACACAATGTATAGAATGTGATGACTCAGGGACCTTAGACGGCTGCAGAGGAGGGATAAAGAGAGACTCCAAGGACCAGTCTAAGCAAGCCAGCTCCAAGGATCAGGTGAGTATATCTTTGTTATTTCCCTGCCTAGACCAAAACGAGGACCTAACCCTTGCAGTGCAGGGGTAGTCCCACTACAAGAGCTTATAAAACATTTCCCTGGAGTTCTTCTTAAAAAAGATGAAAAGTGGAATGAAAAGGCTTGCTTTCTGGGGACTATGATATAACAAAATGCAAGCAAGTTGTAACTCCAACATGTTGCAGTTCGAAAACAAAAAGGTCTAAAATTGTAATATTACAATTTGTGTAGACCAAGAATGGCAGTTTTTGGGTCATATTTGGCTATCTTATATAGGTATATATAGGTATAAAGGATGGATCCTGTGTGAGTCCGAGCACTGATATCCGCACCCGCACGGATGTGCACTTCAGGCGGCGTACGGCTGTGTACTCCCATAGAGAACAACGGGCTGCTGCGTACAATCGCACGCAGCACCTGTCCTTCCCAGGAGCAGCCCGATACAGCCGTGCATGCCGGCTCTTAGCAGTGTGAATGAGGCCTTCCTCTAGTGGTACAGAGCCGGTGTTTGATGATTGGCCAAGGGCTGTCACATGATGTGAACAGACCACCCTCAGTCCTTGCAAAAGCTCAGACTAGAGTGACTTGGGGCTTACACTAGGCTTCATTTTCTAGCTCCCCATAGCTAAACAGAGCAACAGGGGAGTGAAAGAATGTATGTATTTGCTGCTGGGGAAGTGGGCATTAAAGTTCACCTTTTGTTATGCCCTATATGGACAATGTACAGATTCACTCTAACTATCAGCTACAAGCAAAAAGTTAAATGCTACCCAGAAAACATTACCAGTAAACCAACAATCTGAAAAACAATTCCAACAGCTATAAAGAACAAAGTTATCAGAATATCTTTGGTTGGGACTGCAGCCTCTTTCCATTCATTTTTGTTGGTCAAGCTCACTCCCATAAATCGATGTCTCTTTATATAACGTGTTAGATGACAGTGGGGGTATATCAGCTGATGGTTGTGAACGCCTGGGTGCAGACCCAGCATTAGATATGTACAGGAGGACTAGGATATATAACACAACAGTTGTGTCCTCTTCAAGGACGAAAAACAAAAGCATTAGGCCGGAAAGATGTATCACTTTCACATATACAGTATATATAATAAACGCTTGAGTTTAACTAGAGTATACCTTTAAATCCTAGATACATTTTCTAAGTACACTTAATTCCATTAGGTCATAAGCCCTATAATCGTTCATCAGTACTTTATTTAAAGGACTGATAGGATTTAAATGCACTGATATATTACGTTTAAACCAGCACACAACAAAAACGGTAACATTATGCTTCAATCTGATTGATAGGGCAGGGCGGTAAATTACATCTTAAGTCTACAAATATCCAGTTTCATTACATAACACTCCCCAAACTAGCAACACAATTGAAAACAGGGTGTAGGGAGCAATTTCTAATATTGCCAGGAGACACAGGGTCAGTCACAAGTACAGGATTATAGAATTAACATCATGACCCATCAAGGGGAGGGTGGGGGGAGTGTAAGACACAAGTTTCTTTCCCTCTGTGGCTAAGGCTACATTGCAATCAGTACCTTATAAAGGTCACAGTAAAAACTATAGTTCTCTGCCCATGCAGCTTTTACAGGAATATCAGTTTAGGAAAAGTGAGTGTTCAGCTTGGTGCACAGGAAAATCAGGAGGGAATTTACTAAAATTGGAGCAGACAGAATCTGGAGCAGTTGCTCATAATAACCAATCAGCTTCTCATTTTTGCGTGTTCAGTTAAGCTTTGAAAATGGAAGCTAGAAGCTGGTTGCTTGACATGCACAGCTGCTCCAGATTTTGTCTGCCCCCAGTATGTTTAACCCTTTTATGTCATACGTCAGCTGCACTGAGGCCCTGTAAACATACTCCCGGTTTCTATAGGTACCTGATAACTTTTGGGGCCGGTAAGGTAATGTGTGCCCCCCCTCCCCCAAATTACACCCCCCGCCTTGCTTCCCAGGCTCCACTGCCCCTCAAGTGGGCCCGCAACTGTCATTGTGGGTGTTGGTGGCTAGAGGGAGAGATAAGTGAAAATCTTTTCCCTGATCTCCTCCCCACTGAATGAAACCAGAGGCGACGTTGATTAAATCACTTCCAGTTTCTGAGCTGTCATTCCCAAGCTAGAGAAGCCAGTGAAGAAGAAGCTGATCAAGCACAATCTACGCTTGGTCAGGTTTAATGGGCTCCAAAGGTGTCATTAGTGGTCTAATAGACCCCTAATGTCATCTTAAATGTTACCTGTCACTACTATATGCTATCACATAGAGAGCTTGTGAGCCACACACGTTAGGTAGAGTTGCGTGCGCCAGAGTGAGAGCAATATTTCTAGGGCAATAATTCATAGTTACCGCTAAACTGATGACCTGTACAGGATTTTCCACTGTTTCACAGACGCATGCAATTTGTAAGCTTGGCATGCTGGGTATCTATATTATAAATTAACTAAAGTGTATTTTTTACTGAAACTTTGGGTTTGATAAAGAGTTGCGCCACTAATATGCGGCATCAAAATGTTCAACTGCCACCATTTTATTCTACAGGATCTGTGCTTTCAGGAAATATATTAATAATTCTGCTGAGTTTTAAGTAATTTTCAGGCCTAAAATGTGAATTATAAAATGTAGAAAAAAAATGCAAAAACACCTCTATCAGCGAAAGTATTTAAGGGAAGCTGTCAATGATTTTCAGTGGCTGCATATTTTGAGATTTTTGAGATATTTTTATATATATATGTGATATGGTGTTGTGGGTGGAACCTCTGTTTAAAAGTACTCAATATAACAAAAAAAAGTTACTTCTAGTTGCTTAGACACAACAGGAAATGAGGAATATCTCCAAAGTAGGGGAAATCCTCTCTCATTTGTCACCACAACCAGTGCCCCATTTGGAAGATTTCACCTTATCTCCTGCAACACAGAATTTTGAATTTTTGTTCACTTTTAACACTGGTAATAAAGAATACTAAGACCAATAGAGAGGGTAAATCTCCACAAAGAGGACTCAGACAGCAATAAAAAAATGTTTTAAAGGGTTGCCAACCTCTCAACACTATATCAAAACTTTGGCTTCAAGGACAATATAAGGGGTTTTTGTTTTTTTAAACATGAGGTGCAGTTTACTTTCTTCAAGGACATTTCATAATTTTCAATAAGTATAGCACTAAGTATTTCCTAAGGTTTTACCAAATTTTGGGGTAATGGGGAGTTGCAGTAAGGGTCCAGTCCAGCTTTGTGGCCTGGGTACAGTTTCTCTATTCACAGCCTCTGGCATTCCACTTGAGGAGGACTTGATCTAGGTCATAAGCCACCATATGGACAGCTTTACTGTAGATTGCTATTTAAGTTGTACTGTTTAATTTAAATGAATTCATTTTTTTTCCCACAGAGATATAAAGAATTTGTACCAGGGACTAACAGTAACAGAGTGCTTCAACATCGAGGATCATTGGATGGATGGGGTACATCATCCCTGCTAAGCTACGATGAGAGTTCAGTCATACAGAGTCCTCCACCTCGTTCCATGTCTCCTGCTTGGAGCGACCGTTCACCATCCCCATCACCTGTACGAATGGAGAATGAAATTAAAGGCGGAAAACAGCTGAAATCTCTTCTTGCCCGAAATATCATCAATGCAGCAAAGCGCAAGAATTCTTCATCTTGCGGCCTTACTAGTCCGCAGTCTCCAATTCATATTACGTCACCTTGGAGCCCACCAATTCGCAATGGATCCTCTCTGCCTGCAACACCCAGAGCCAGACGGTCACCAACTGGTTCAGATATTTCAATGGAATCAGAGGATTCTGGAGCAAAATCTCCAGGATTTCGGAGCTATCCATTCTCACCTAAGGGGTGGTATGGGAGCATAAGGGAGAAGAGAGATAGTCTACCCTCAAGCTCACCCTTTACTTATACCCCATAAATGGTTCTGTCCAGCTCAAGTTCCATCAGATACCAAATCAACCTTCTGGAGCACAGGCAGCTTACCATGTCCTACACTGCCAAAGACGTTTTTAGATTTACACTACAAATATTTGGGAATTAAAAAATAAAATCTTAAAAAGTAAATACATTTAATTGGATCAGTTCTGACTTCAAAGAGTAAAACCTAAAGGATGTCTGAGCAATCACTGACATTAAATGCAAATCAATACACAATGAATAATTCCTGTGACAGATAAGGGATATATTTCAAAGCTGTTGCTCATGAACACTGTACATTTTATTAAAAAAAGCCTCCATTTTTTATTACTATTTTAATCACAGCATATCATTTTTTAAGACACAAGTTATAAGACTAAATGGAAGAAATAATTGTATTAATAATCGCATTTTAGAGACAACAATATGAATTGTGGAATTAGAATGATGACTGAAAAATAAGGAAAATTTGCAATTTCAAAGGTGTTTTTTTTAAACAACTGACTGTGGACCTTTTTTTGTTGTCTATGTATAGTTTTGTGGACAGTTAATCAGCAGATGGCTCCACTTTTCTACAAGATATGATAGACAGCTTTTGCAGGAATTACTTTTTGTAATTTGGAGAACTTTTTGTTAAGCAATTGCTTTGGCCTCCCCAGCATGGATTCAACCTCGGTTGCTGACAGTCTTCAAAAGCTAAGCTAAGGCCTAAGAATGGGTTTTTCCAAATGATAAAGATCTTTAACTAATCCTTCAACATGCCGGAAAACCGTGACCATTGATGAGCCTAAGAAGACTAAACTGTTGTCATAAAAAGCATGCAGGTGAATTGCTTTTTCTGTTCAGGTGGTTAACAAGAAAATATTAACAGACTTGAAAAATGACTGGAAAGCCATGTGAACAAATGTCATCTTAAATAGGAGGAATACGTGACTATAAGTGGTGCCCGGTAACCATCAAGGATGACCAATCAATTTTCTTCTCAGACAAAAAGTCTGTTTGTTCATGGCCTGCATTATCCATAATCAGATAACAAGACAATCCAGAGGGTGGGTGTAATGGACTTAACTGTGGAGATCTTTCCACATCTGCCTTTGCACTGATATAAACCTCTCAGTATTCTATGCATAGGCTTTTGTAACTGCACATTTATCAATGCACTACATTTGCTTTTAACTGTCCACTGCAGAGCAAGTGCACACAAGACCTGAGGACATTAATGAATGAAAATACTATTTCTTCAGCTAAGAGAAGGAAGCAATATGCCAAAGAAAGATAGATGGTTTTAGGAAACCGAAGGTACTTTATGATATTTAATGGTGTTTTGAATAGAAGGGCCCGATTGTCTGTAGCCAGCCACAACATGGCCAGATTGTGAAGGATAAAAAAGAGCCATACAGAAACAGGTTGCTTAAATGCCTGTAATACACAACAAATTGATTTATCCAGTAATGAAATACAGCTTGTAATATTCACAAATATATCAGTAAACTGGGTGTGGAATATGCAACATTCAGCAGTGCAAATAGAAATTGTGAGACAGACACCAAGCAATCCAGATGTGGTCCCTGGAATAGATAGAATGAAGGTTGGGACCTCTATATGTGGTTACTATTGTTAGCATTGCAAATTCACCTCTCCTTCTCTTGCAGCTCTAAAAGTACGCTCACATAGAAGGTGAGCTAAAAGAAGAAAGTAAAGAATTAGCAAGAGCCTGTGGAACCCTTCTCCAAAGAGTTCACTTAAAGCTGAACTCCGGGCAAACAGCTAAATACAGAGATGAACTACATATATGAAAGACGTTTTACCAGCCAACTTCTATATTTTTTTGGTATTTCTTTCTATCTGGTCCTGAGATTTACACATCACAGCCATACAACACAACCCTGTATAGCAGGGGTAGCCAAACTTCGGCCCTCCAGTTGTTGTGACAGTACAAATCCCATAATGTATCTGGGAGTCAATCCTGTGGCTAAAGTTTTGCAATGCCTTATGGGACTAGTTCCGACAGAAACAATTGCCGCACAAATGACAGATATCACAAGCTGATATGTATCAGTCGTTTGTGTAGCAATAGTTTCTTTGAAGACCAGTATCAAGCTGCTCTTTTTTTGCCTGTACTGACAAGAGGGATGGGGCTGTGTGACCTCAGGACAAGGAATATGAGCGGTGGCTGCTTTGTGAGTTTTACCTTATGGGACTAGTTCACAATAGCTGGAGGGCTGATCCTTGGCACTAAATTTTCTCTGCTGCAGTTCAGTAATACGTTCAGGTCTCCTCCATATCCCCAGGATATGACTGGCCAGCGAAAGGAGAAGCAGCAGACTGATTAATTCAAAAGTCACTCACTCTGTTCTCTCTACCTACCAACATGCTTGTTGTATTGCAGCACAACTGATTATGCTGCTTCTACCTTACCCAGTCTAAGCCCTGCTATACATTGGATTGTGGGAGGCTATTATCAAGTCAAATCTAGATAGTTTTTAGACACTGCTTGAAAAAAAACAACATATATATATTTCTTCAGGGATTAATTCATAAATGAAGACCTGCCCTAATTAGTGTCTGGAGTTCAGCTTTAAAGGAAACCAGTAGTGAAAGAAATATGCTGGCATTGCTAACGTGCTTTTAAAAATGTTAGTCATCGTAGCAATCTATATATGTGAAGTTGTGGTCAGACCGTGGACATTCAAGTATTTACACAATCTTAAGAAGAAGTAAATGAGCCTAAAAACAAGCCTTCACTATCCTTTTCTTAAGGATGAATTGCTCCACAGTGCCTCTAACTACAGAGATCAGTTAGGTCTTGTTTTAAAGCTTATGTACTGCTTGTTAAGAATATTTTACTACTTGAATGCCTGTAGACTGGCTTTAGGTTAACTTTAAACCTTGCATAATAGACATTTGTAGATTCTACAGCACTGAAGTAAATATAAAGCAATGGCAACACAAACACAACAACATAAATGGATGATCTCATCCTAAATCTCTTGTGGCAAGACCATTCTCAAGTATTTTATGATCTATCTGCACTTCTGGTGTCATTGTTAAATACAAGCCAGTACATGCTGTTTTAGTCTATTTAGGTTGGTAAAGGGTTCCTAGACTTTACTGTAGAAACCTTATGAATGGAAATGCTATGTTTTCCACCAGTTACATGATACTATATACTTGTGAATATTAATGATTAAGTTACACAAATATAACAAAACATGCACTTTAGTTTGTAGCCCTGTAACCTTGTTTTATTTTACACCGGTTGATGATTGAAGGCTAATGCTGTACGTTAAATAAGATATGATAGGCAGGTGTAAAACGATTACTTCGAATGGGTAAAAGGATTGTGTTCATGCACTAAGAAACAGTTTGATGTGCTGCTCCATGCTGTATTATAAGGAATGTGCTTGTTAATAAAGTTTTACAGCTGATTTTGACTGAAGTAAAGTGAAATTTAATGTCATTTTACCAGACTAAAGCCAAAGTGCAACATAAATTTAAATGATGCTGAACAGTGAAAGTTGTTTTTTAAATGCAGAGTACAGTAAAACAAATGAAAAAGGCAATTTTTTATGCATTTGTTTTATAAGCTTTTAACTCTTTCTACAGTTTAGTTATCCGGTTCATCAAGTAACATGTTTTCATACATGGGCAAAATGTTGAATGCAGAATAATAAATCCATGAAAAAAAGCAGTGTATACGACAATATAGAAAACCCTTTGACCTTATTTATCCTTACACAGGTATAAGGCTGCATTTGTGTGTACCATAATGTGCCTGCACCGCCACTCACAGTATTTGTATGGTGTGTTCCCATTCATTCTGCATGGCGCACCAATGCTCATATACAGTGTAAAGCAACACAACTGACCATCAACATAATGCAATGCATAGATTTGAATGCCCTATGCATTGTTGGGTGCTGCATTGCCCAAAGAAAATACAGGTGTGTTGTATAATGCGGTAAGGTTTTTTAGGTGTAATGTGCATTAGTGCACAACATGTATGCTTCAACAGAGCCTTAAAGGTGTTCTAAAGTCCCAGCATATACTATCCTGTTATAACATCAGCATTGAAATAGGAATGCATAATAGAGTTGTTTTTGATAATGCAATCAAAGCTTACTTGCAAAATCCCTTTTATTTAGTGAGTGCTTCCTTCCGTCTGCCCATCACTTTCATCAAATTCCTGGATTCCCAGTGTGCTTTGCCTCTCTTTCACTTCTACTTGATAATGATACAGTCTCGACTTCTCAAGACTACATACCCCATCATGCATTTCTTTCAGCAAGCAATGCTGATATCACATGAATTGTAGCTCAGAAGTGCATATTCACAGGGCTGAGTGAAATTGTGTAAGTGAATTGAGGAAGTACATCCTATGGACATCTTCAGTAAGTAAGTTTATAAACTTCTAGATCCATATGGTTATTAGGAGTGGGATAGAACTTATGGAAATTCAATATAGAAACACATTTTTTTTTTTCGTTTTTGACCACCGATATCCTTTAAGGAAACCCGTACAGAGAGAGATGTGCTTGTTGGAAATACAACAGCATATACTGATGTCTTTTGAGCTGTGGATGGTGCTGCAGTCCATTGTTACTCTCTATGTGCATGCTTATCTATGATACACAGGAAGTTTTCCTATATACATGTTTTCCCTCACAATGCTGTATTCACATGTAATATTCTTCTAAGCAAGTAAAACTAAATTCAGCATTCCTAAAGATCTCAGTGCTTCATCTAGACACATAACCAACAGGTTACGGGCCCAGGCACTTAACAGAACACTGCAAGTCAACAAGAGCCACATCCAAGCTACTGAAAGTTGGCAAGCAGTTCAGATATGAAGTTTGCAATCGCAAAGCTCAACAATATGTGAATGCCATGCTGGAAATTGTACAATTGGAGAGGAAATTAAAGATAACCATGTGGTGGCATTACTGGTATGCAGCCTTACAGAGTCATACAGTGCTCTTATTGATGCTCTAGAAACCAAACCTGAGCAGGAACTAACACTAGAATATGCCAAAGGAAAATTAATCGATGAATATGACAGAAGGAAAGAAAATATGCACAATGAAGTAAACAAGAAAGCCCTTACGGTGCATGAGAGCGCA